TTACAAACACACAGGGAAGTACAGAGAACAGCATTGTGAACATCGATGTACCCATCACTCAGTTTTGTGAAATCTTACTGCATGACCACTGTTTCACTGGATTCATTTTTTTTTCATGAAAAGTGAGACATTATACTTAGCGTTGAAGCCCCCTTGTACCTCTCCCCAATCCCATCCCCCTGCCACCCCTCTCGGAGGTGACCGCGGTCAACTTTTGCTGTTTATCATTACCAGGCATGTTTTTATGTTTCTACTACATGTGGCTACGTAAACAATGGATAATGTTATTTATATCTGAAAAATGTGTTCAAACGGCATGTTATACGTGTCCCTGAGCAACCTCCTTTTGTTCACTCATATAGGAGCTGTTTGGATCTTCCCATGCAGATACAAGCAGGACTAGAGGTCACTCATTGAAAGTGCTGTGTCTGAATGTCCCAAGTGTACTTATTCTGGTTTTTGACAGTGGAGTTGTTTCCAGTTTCTCACGATCTTAAACAGGGCCACAAAGAACATCCTTATAACTGTGGCCGCGAGCTTCTCTAGGATAACACGTAGGAGTGGAATTTCTGGAGCTCAGGCAGTGGACATCTCCACTGTGATGAGACATTGGTAAGTCGCTCCATCTTGCCCCCCAACTGCCACATCAGTCAGCAGCGTCTCAGGAGCACTCCGAAAGATGATGGATGTAAAATAAGAACTTGTATTTCCCCTACTACTAGAGGGAAAGGCTCTTTTGCCCTTTGACTTTGAACTGTCAGGGTACTTGTTCACATCCTTTGCCCGTTTTTCTGTTACATTATTTACCTTTTCTTATCATTTGAAGGAAATATTTCTTCTACTTCTTTTTTTTTTTAAGATTTTATTTTTAAGTAATCTATATGCCCATTGAGAGGCTCAAACTCACAACCCCGAGACTGATGTGCTTTACAGACTGAGCCAGCCAGGCGCCCCAGGAACTATTTCTTCCTGATCCAAATCCTTTTTCAGTTCTATTAGCCAAGAATATCTTTGATTAGACCCAGCTTGTCTTTTCACTTCCTTTAGAGCCTCTTTTGTTGTACAGAAGTTTACAGTTACACGGTAGTTACGTTCTGGTTAAATTATAAATCAGGTTGTTAAATTTACTAATCTTTTCCTTTATGGCTTGTGCTTATTGTATCTTGTCCATAAAATCCCGCAGTGCCCTGCAATTGTAAAGATATTATACGTACTGTTTTCTTCAAGTTTTAAAGTTTTGTTTTTCATATTCAGGTGTTTAGTCATAGAAATTGGTTTTTTAAAGTTTATTTATTTTTGAGAGAGGGAAAAAAAAACGCACGTGCATGCACAAGCAAGGGAGGCACAGAGAGAGAGGGAGAGAGAGAGAATCTCAAGCAGGCTCTGCCCTGTTCGCGCAGAGCCCCACAGGGGGCTTGAACTCATGAACCGTGAGATCGTGACCTGAGCTGAAATCAAGAGTCAGACGCTTGACCGACTGAGCCACCCAGGGGCCCCCATAGGAACCGATTTTTATGTGCGGTACGAAATAGATGCCATTCTATTTTCCTTCATATGGAGAACCAATTGGCCCTGAACCATTTTTGACCAGGACATCTTTTCTCCATTGACATGCAATGCAATTTCCTTTTGTCTCTCATTTTCAAATATATGTAGACCTGTTCCTAGGCTCTCTATGTTGTTCCGCTTTTCTACCTCTAGTAGCCACATTAAAAAAATATATATTTTTAAAACCCAGGTGAGTGAATCCACATTTATACGAAAATTAAAAGTTTAACTTTAAAAAAGTCCCCAGGGTGCCTGGGTGGCTCAGTCCTTAAGCATCTGACTTGGGCTCAGGTCACAATCTCACAGTTCATGAGTTTGTGTCTGACATTGGGCAAGCTCAAGCCCCACTTCAGGTGAGCCCCATTTCTCTCTCTCCCTCCCTCTCTCTCTCTCTCTGCCCCTCCCCTCTCAAAATAACTTTCTCAAGACTTCTTGGGATTCTCTTTCTCTCTGCCCCTCCCTGCTCCCTCTCTCAAAATAAATACATAAACTTAAAAAAAAAAGCTGAATAATATTCCATTATATGGATATATCACATGTGATTTTTCCTGTTTATCTGTCGCTTGATGGTTGGGTTGCTTCTACCTTTTGGCTGTTGTGAATAACGCTGGCTATGAAATGAGTGTCAAACATCTCTTCCAGACCATGCTTTCCATGCCTTTGGGTATATACCCAGAAGTGAAATCGTTGAATCATATGGTAATTCTAGTTTCAATTTTTTTTTAAGGAATTGCCAGACTGCTCTCCATAGTAGCTGCATTATTTTATATTCCCACCGGCAGTTTGAAAGGGTTCTGATTTCTCCATATACCCACCAATGCTTGTTATGATCTGTTTTGTTGTTTTTTATCCTATCCATTCTAACAGGTATGAAGTGGTATCTCGTTGTGGTTTTGCACTGATTAGCATTTCACTCATGATTAGTGATATGGAGCATCTTTTCATGTGCTTCTTGGTCATTCGTACATTTTCTTTGAAGAAATGTCTATTCACATCCTTTGCCCATTTTAAAATCTGGTTTTGTTATTGTTGTTGAGTTGCAGGAATTTATATACTCTGGATATGAACCCCTTACCGGCTATGTGATTTACAACGATCTTCTCCCGTTCCACGGATTACTCTCTCACTCATTCATAATGTTCTTTGGTGCACAAAAGCTTTTAATTTCAATGTAGTCCAGTCAATCGATTTTTTGTTTCCTGTGCTTTTGGTGTCGTATCCCAAGAAATCACTGCTAGATCCAGTGTTGTGAATATTTTCTCCTATGTTTTCTTCTAAGAGTTTTATAATTTTAGCTCTTATGTTGAGGTCTTAATCAATTCTGTGTTAATTTTTATATATGATGTAAGCTAGGAGTCCAGTTTCATTCGTTGCATGGGGAGACCCAGTTTTTCCAACATGAGTTTGGTTTTGATCGAATTTTAGTTAAGACTTCTGCACCTGAGAGATGCTACTTTGATGCAACCTTTGACTGATTACTGGGATCCTTTCCAGGGTAGGTAGTACTTCCCAATATCCAGGATAGATGCACTTCCTGACAGGTAGTCAATTAGCTTGGGCTTGATGCTTCCAAAGACAAGACGCTCACTACTTAATAAAGCAGTTTTTCTCCTGCTAGAACTATCGTATCTGGTAGAAAAATCCTAATTCTGGACACAAACCTTTCTCCTTGTAGCATTCGTCTGTTGGTCCTGGTTTGTTTTCTGGGGCTATGAGAAGAGAGAAGCATCTTTTCCAACATAAAGTACTTTGACTTAAGTAAGTAACACAACTACGTGATAGGCAACTATCTGCCAGGTTATAAGGTTTATCACATTTGCTCCACAAAGCAATTGATTAACAAGTCCTATTATTGATTCCTATTTTGCAGATGAAGCAAATAAGGCTTGAAGAGCTTATAATTTTCACAAGGTCAGTTATGTAAATAGTAGCATTGATATATGGAAGGCAGTGGCCTTGACCATTCTGCTACATTGCCCCTCTCCTCATCCCCAACAGCCAGCCCGGAACTCCTTTAGTTCTTTCGTCTTCAAAGGACATGGTTTTCGCATCCTGTCCCATCCTATGACACAGGAATTCTTTATATATTTTGGATATTAATTCCTTATCAGATACAGACTTTGCAAACATTTTCTCCTGTTCCATCAGGTGCCTTCTCATGTTGTTGATGGTTTCCCTTTTTGTACAGAAGCTTTTTTGGTTTCATGTCGTCCCACCTGTTTATTTTTGTTTTCTTTGCTTTTGGTGTCATATGCATGGTCCCTTAAGGGTAGAATGCAGAGGATGTCTTAGCTCCTTTGACCCGAGCACTACATCCTTCCTGATGTCACACAAAATCAGGTTAGAGGTGTGTGCAGCTGCTACCAAATAAAACCTCTAGAACTTAGTCACTTAGTCACGTCACCTGCCACTAAGGCAGCTCTCCCCAGCACACTGTCCAGGTGGTTTATTTTTAACCAGTATGGAGGATTTCTCATTCCTCTTCATCGAGTTCAAACATTTCTCCAGGGTCGCCTGGTGGCTAAGTCAGTTAAGTGTCTGACTCTTGATTTCGGCTCAGGTCATGATCTCAGTTTGTGAGTTCGAGTCCCATGTCTGGCTCTGTACAGCACAGAGCCTGCTTCCGACTCTGTGTCTCCCTCTCTCTCTTCCCCTCCCCTGCTCATGCAGGCTCTCTAAAAAAAAAAAAAAAAAAATTTCTCCAAATTCATGTGGATCTTGATCCTGCCATTATTTTATAGCTCACACCTGTGCAGAACTCACTGCCTGCCAGAAACAGTTCTAAGTCCTGTCTGTAATTAGCATGATTAATCCCCACAGCCTCCTAATGAGTACATATCATTATCATCCCTGTTTTGCCAATTAGAAAATAGTCACAGAGCAATTAAGTAACTCACCAAGGGTCACACAGCCAGTCCGTGGCAGAACCAGAATTCAAGCCCAGAAAGTCAGGCTCCAGAATTTGGGCTCTCAGCGTCTATACAGACGCTTCCAATCATCTGACGGGCTCAGCCAGTTTTTTTGGGCCTGAAAAGACTGACACGCACTTAGAGACCTCCTTTTTTTTTTTTTTTTTTTTAACATATAAAGAACAGACTAGGCTCAGAGGCTTTCACCTGCAACAGTATTATTTAATTCAGGATATGTTATAATAGTTTATATCATTCCATTTATTTTCCCATCGCTTTCTACTTAAGATACTGGTGTTTCACTTGGTAGTAATAACATTTCCTTCTAAAATAAATCTAAATAAAAATAAGTGTGTCGATGTAAGAAAAATGTTTAGTATTAGTATGGGAGGTTTCCAAATACAACAAAAATCATAAGGGCCAGAGGAAAATCAGTGACCTTTGGAAAGATCCTGTGCAGTCAAGTTAGGTGAGGCTGTGCTGTAATGACAAAAAGGCCCTAAGTCCCAGTGGCTTACACAGCTGAGCCGATGGCTCACTTACAGTACTTGTCCGTCAGGGGCTGGTGGGGTGCACTCCCCACCCTGATGACTCCATATCCCTACGTGCTTCTGAAACAGCCCCAGCGCGGGCCCTTCAAGCTTCTGCCCGGGTGTGACGCACCAGTTGTTTCTGCTCTCATTTCATTGGCCAGAACAAGTCACATGGTCACGTCTAACTTCAAAGGAAGCAAGAAAGAGTAATCCGGTCATGCGCCTGAAACGAGAGAGGAGGAACAGTTGAGAACAGCCGGCAGATAGTGAGTAAAGCAATCTGAAAGGTGGGTCTAGGAAAGGAGACTGAGTCTGTCTCTGACCACGATGACCAGCCCCACCAAGGGGCCTTCAGCACCTGTTCTCAGAGAAGGGACTCTGGTCCGCCAAGGATAAGACCGTCTGACCGCACCATTCTGTTAAGCTAGTGCTGCTCCCCGGCAGCAACTCGGGATGCCTTTTGGTTGCAGGGTGTTGTTACTTCGTAGAGTTGCGGCTGAACTCTGTGGTCAGGTTTGTTTGTTCCCTGAAGCTGGACACAGCAGTTTGGGCTTCGGCTGAGATAGGATTTGTCACTGCTTTGAAAAGATACCCAGAGAAGGGTAATCGGAAAGGAGAGGAACCCAAGGAACCATTTTTCCGGGCAAAGAAAAAAAGAATGTGCAAAGACGCTGAGCCAGAAACACGAAAGGCTGGCGTGGCTGCAGCCACGGGACTAGGGAGAATGGGATGAAATGGAGGCTGGGGATGCAGGGATAGACACACAAGGTCCACGGGAGTTTTGAATTTTATGAGTTTAATTATAAATGCGTAGGAAGCCATTAAAGTTTCAGTATGGGGGGGCCTGATGCAGTCTGTGTGTAAAGAATTATCCCCCCCCCCCCCGCAAGAGTGCGTGGTAGGGAGAAAAGAAGTGAAGAGACTTTCGCAGACCTCCAGAGATGATACTGATGTGGACGAGGTTGACTGTGGTGCAGGTGGAAAGATGGTGAAAATCTGAGTTACTGTTAAAGGTGGCAAGCACTGGATTTTCTGATGATTTGGGAGAGAGGAACACAAAGATAGTGACTCCCAGGGTGTGGGGTGATGGACTATGACAATGCAGGTGTGATTACTATTGTTCTCTTTCAAGGAATGAGGAAGGGGGAGTGAATTGTCCTTCACTAACCTAGTAACTGAACTCCAGTTCTGGTGTGTCTACTCCCAAGGTCCTACCTTCTCCACTCTCCCCAGACCCATACCTTAATTTCTATAATGGGGGGGGGGGGGGGCGGGATGATATTTAATGCTATTACTATCTTTAAATGTGAAAATACATAAATGCCTCTGAAAGCAAATGTACACTATCAGTGGAGCCAGCACGAGGTCTGGGACCCTACTCAACGGCGCGGGCACGTGGGACCAAGTGTCGGGAATATAAATTTCATAGATGATGTAAGGGCAGCGCCAGACCAGCCTTGGGGAGCAAGTTTTAAAATCTTGCTTTCTTATTGGTGCAGTGGCCAAGGGCTGGTGTGTCAATGCGGGGATGTTGTTAGCTTGCTCGGTGACTAAACCCAGAGAGCGGTGACTGGTGAACCGGTCGAGCTGCCTTCCCTCTGGGTTTGGAGAGATTAGTCCGTCTTGGCCTGTGATTGGTGGGATTGTAATGCTACTTCCGCTGTGATTGGTTAAACCTGTGCGGTTATTTGAAAGTTTCTCAGCGCCAATCCAGCATTGGCCACTAGGGGGAGCCCGGGATGCGCAAAGCGAGGCTCTTCGGCGTGTCTGAGCCGCTTCCTCCCCGAAGCCCTCCGGTTCTGCAGCGACAGCTGGTTCTGCCCTGTGCCCTCAGGCAACCGCGGGACTGGGGTGGGGGTGTGGGGGACGGAGTTAGAACTCCCAGTTCTGGCCCGGGTGGCCACGCTTCTCTGCACAGCCCCTTTGGCCCCTTCCTCTGGCTCCCAGCCCCGCAGAGGACATTGGCTGACCGAGGGGTGGGGCAGAGAGTTGGTGAAGGTTTGTGAAGGCCCAGATCCAAAACGCAAAATTGTGGAGTCTGTCAAAGGAGACAGGGCAGCTCCCCTCCCTCCAAGGCGCCCTCTGCCCGCCTCGGAGTCCTCTCAAGTTGAATAGCCTCCACCAAGCCCTTTAAAATCCTTAAAGGACTTTACGAAAGGAGCATCTCTTTGGGATTTAGAACTGTGCCACGTAGGTCAGGGCCACTAGGTAGATCACCCTCTCCAAAGACACCCCCTGTCATCCCCAGGCGCTAGCACAACCTGTAGTTTCGTCTTGCTATTGCACTTCGTCAGTATTTGAAATTCTCTTTCAATTTTTTTTTAAAATTTTTGAGAGAATGCACGTGCGAGTGGGAGAGCAGCAGAGAGGCTGGGCGGGGGAGGGGGGGGTACAGACTTTCAGATGTGGGCTCTGCGCTGAGCCAAAGTTGGAAGCTAAACCAACTGAACCACCTAAACGCCCCGACATTCTCTTTTGAAACATTTATTTGCTTGCTTACTGTCTCTGCATCACACCTCCCCGTCAAAATGTAAGCTCTGTGAGAGAGGGAATAGGGAGGGCCAGACATGCCAAAGAATGCCCAGTTACATTGGAATTTGAGATAAACAACAACTTATTTTTTAAGTGTAAGTATGCTTCCTGCGTTATTTGTACATATTTATATTAAAACATTATTCGATGTTTCTCTTAAATGTACCTGGGCACCCTGCAAGTCTGTGGGGGAGGAATCTTGCCTCTTGCCTTCACAGCTGTATCCCACACCTGCAGTGGTGCACGTGGAAAATGCTGAATAAAGGTTAAATGATTGGATGGATAGAGTCCTTCATTCATTCACTCATTTGTCCATCCACCCCATTATATTAAGTTCCAGCTGGGTCCTGGGAATTTAACAGTAAATGGGACACAGTCCAATGGAGGAGGCAGAGACCCAAGCAGCAACCACCATTTGACTACACTGTGATGGTGTAAAGTGTTGGGGGCCGGGTGAGCACAAAGGAGGAACCAGGAGGGCTGCCCAGAGGAGGAGTCCAAGATGGAGCTTGGAGGGGGAAGGGGAGAATAGAAAGGTGTGACAGCAGCTTTGGGCAGAAGGCCTGGCATGTGCAAAGGCCAGAGCCAAGGCGGAGGCTGTGGGATTTGAAAGAGGCGAGTGGCTAGGGGTGGGGGACCAATGTGCAGTATGGGTGGGGCAATCAGAGAGAGCAGAGGAGGAGGCTCGTCCACGGAGTATCCGTACCCAGCAGTCAGCTACAACAGTGATGCTAGGTTGGTATCGCTGTGCCCATTGTATTGATGAGCAAAGTGAGAGAAGTGAAATGCTTGGCTTGCCAAATGAGTGGCAAAAGCTGAGCTTCAGACTCATGTCTGACAGACTCTAAAGCCTGCACTGTTCTCAAAAAGCCCCTGGGTTAGGGATTGGAACCCCAATTGGAGGATGAAGAAACTGAGGCTCAGAAAGGTAACAGGGCTGTCCCTGTGAATGTGGCTCCGTCCAGTTTCACAGGAGAACACTGAGGCAGTACAAGGGGTACAGTTTGTCGCCAGCCGTCTGAGAAACCACGGGAGGGCGGAGGCAGGACCCAGGAGTCCAGGATGCTGTACTTCCTGTTCCTGTTTGGGTTGGGTCTCCAAGACCCCCTTGCTGAGCCCTGTGGCTAATTCCTTGCATGGGTCCTGGGCGGGTCCACGGTTTCTATGGAGACCACCTCCTACCATCCCTGAAATCTCATTGTGACCAGTATTAAGAGATTAGCGCTGCCCCGCAGCCCTCACAGGGTCTTGGGTGCCAGGGTGGCAGCAGGGGCTCCCCCAGGATGAAGAGGTTGCTCACTGTGCGGGATCCCATAACACCAGGAGGAGGATGTCAGACTGGGGCCAGGGCTTCCCCCAGCACCTCCCAGGTATGGTCCGGACTCCACATCTACCTGGAGAGGAGGACGGGGTGGCGGCAGAGAGACACACGACTCAGGGGAGAAGTCCAGATTTTGGAGCAGTGCAGAGGCCTTGGACCCCTGGCCCCCAACCCAGGAAGGCCCAGGGTCTTTGATAGGCGGATGCCATTCTGATCAAGGCAGGTCCAGATTCCCTCAACAAGGTGAGGGGAGCGTTACAGAGTCTTTTAGCTAAAGACCAGCTACCTAATCTCCTTCATTTTGCAGTTTGGGGAATTGAGACACAGAGAAGGAAAGTGACTGCCCAAAGTCAGTGAGTTAGTGAACTGGAGCCGGTGGACAATCCAGAGGCAGCCCTGGGGTCGCCTGAGCAGAAGGCAGTGAATAAGATGACATTGTCCCCTCTGCCTTGAAGTCCAAATGCTCCTCCCTGACCTCCACAAAGGGGGCCCCCTAGTCTTCTTCCCCCGGGGCTGTCCCATTGGCCATGCTCCCCTTCCCTCCCTCCCTCTCCTCCTCCTGACCCTTCCTGTCTCCCGGAGGCTGGCAGAGACTTCCGGGTAGGCTCCACTCCACCGGAGGACATGGCCGCCAGACCCTAACTGTCCCATCCGGGGGACATCCCCTGGCTGAGTCACCATCTGGATGACTGTGGACATTTTTTGTTCCCCGCTTCAGCCTCTCTGTGTCTTCAGGGTCCAGACCTCCTACCAGCCCATCCCCACCCCACCTCCTGCCAGGCCAGCAGCAGAGAGATTTAGGTCAGTCTCCAAAGCTCACAGGGTCAGGTTTTCTGGAAGGCCACACTGGGGCCTGGGGACAAACACGGCTCTGGAACCAGGCAGAGACAGCTCAAAACACTATTGACCCAGCAAGGTGAGCCTCACTTTCCTCCCCTGTGAGGCGGGGGCAATAATCCTTCCTTCCTCCAAGCCTTGCTCTCAGCGGCTGCAGCTGTGCCATTAAATCATCAACTCGAAGTACAGAGCAGTGGAGGGACAGGGTGATAACACCCGATCTGGTATGCATGGAGCAAACCAGGAAGAGGCGTAAAGAAGTGAGAGGAGTGGTTGCCTGTGGTGAGGACAAGGAGTGGACTGGTGGGCAGTGGGGAGAAGGGGACCAAGACTTCTCAAAGTTTTTTTATTGTTCTCATTTAAAAAAATTTTAATGTTAATTTTTGAGAGAGAGACAGAGCATGAGCAGAGGAGGGGCAGAGAGAGAGGGAGACACAGAATCTGAAGCAGGCTCCAGGCTCCGAGCTGTCAGCGCAGAGCCCGACGCGGGGCTCGAACTCGTGAACCGTGAGATCATGACCTCAACCAAAGTCAGATGCTTAACTGACTGAGCCACCCAGGCGCCCCTTGATTTTTGAACCATGTGAATGAAGTACTGATTCAAAACTTAATTACAAAATTTTAACATGGGGCACCTGGGTGGCTTAGTTGGTTAAGCGTCCAACTCTTGATTTGGGCTCTGGTCGTGATCTCACGGTTTGTGAGTTCGGGCCTCTCTGCTGACAGTGCAGAGTCGGCTTGGAATTCTCTCTCTCCCTCTCTGCCTCTCCCCTACTTGCTCTTCTTTCTTTGTCTCTCAAAATAAAGAAACGTTAAGAAAAAAATTTTAAATAAAAATTTTAACAAATTGGAAAAATATCACGTAGCAATGACAATCACACATACCTCAACAATATAACAGGAGTATAGCCAAGACTGAGACCAAAGTACTAGGACTTGACACAAGTCACAGAGAAAGCCTGCCTTTGAGTCTCTGACTTTGACCTGGAAAGGCCCTTTATTTCAAGCCAATCTCGTTTGCCAACTGCAAAATAATGGTCACTGGTACCAAGAATCAGGAGGTCTCTACATGCTAGCCATAGTGCCAGGTGCTATCTGAATATCATCTCACTGAGTAGGCATTCTGACTACCAGGAAGCTATCATCGTTCCCATCTTACAGATGAGGAAACTGAGCCTCACTGAAGTTGCAACTAGTGAGTTGCAGACCATGGATGCACCTCTAGGCCTCTCTCTTTTTTTTTTTTTTTTTTATTTTTTTTTATGTGTATTTATTTTTGAGATAGAGACAGAAAGAGACAGACAGAGAACAAGCGAGGCGGGGGTGGGGTGGGGGGGAGGTGTGCAGAGAGAGAGGGAGACACAGAATCCGAAGCAGGCTCCAGCCTCCAAGCTGTCAACACAGAGCCCAATACAGGGCTCGAACTCATGAACTGCGAGATCATGACCTGAGCCGAAGTTGGACGCTTAACCGACTGAGCCACCCAGGCGCCCCTAGAATCACTTAGGAACTTTAAAAAATACTGATGCCTAGGGGCGCCTGGGTGGCGCAGTCGGTTAAGCGTCCGACTTCAGCCAGGTCACGATCTCGCGGTCTGGGAGTTCGAGCCTCGCGTCGGGCTCTGGGCTGATGGCTCAGAGCCTGGAGCCTGTTTCCGATTCTGTGTCTCCCTCTCTCTCTGCCCCTCCCCCGTTCATGCTCTGTCTCTCTCTGTCCCAAAAATAAATAAAAACGTTGAAAAAAAGAAATAAAAAAAAAATACTGATGCCTAGCACCCACTCACCCCAATCCCAAGATTTGATCATTGGTCTGTGATGGGTCCTGGGCATCAATATTCTTTTAAAGGTCCCAAGTGATTCTAATTCACTGTTAGGGCTGAATCGCTGCTTTATGCTAGACAACTTTTCAAATAGGAAACCGAGGCCAGGGAGGAAAATGACCTTGCCCAAGGTCAGTGGCTGGAAGCTGAGCTGAGGCAGGGCTCTCATGGAGCCTTTTTGAAAATAAATAAGATGTGCTCTCCTCTGGGCAGACAAATTTCCATAGGCACTTGTTTTGGTAAGTGGAACAAGGACTAGATTTCTACACTGACTCACTTCCTTGCACAGAGAAGCTTCGTGCAGTGAGCAACCTGTACAACTGTATGCAGTTGTACAACCTGTACAACTTTGTGCAGTGAGCAACCTGTACAACTGATTCCTCGCCTGCATCTCAGGACTCCCAAAAGGTACATCTCGGTGACTTTCAGGCAAATATCTGGGGCCCTTCGGTACAAGGGTGCAGGGAGACCCAGGGTGGTTCCTGGGATATGGGTTCACCCCTTACACCATGACCAGGGCCTGGGCCAGGCAGGGGCTTGCTATCATCCTTCAGGCCCCACAGGGGCTGGGCAGGCCCCATCTAACTCCGAAGGTCACTTCTGCAGATAAAGTCACGAACACAACCGGGGGGGGGGGGGGGCCAGGGAAGGACATAAACAGAACAACAACAGCCTCAGCCCAGAAGTCACAAGCCACCTGGCAGGAGGCAGCCCTCAGCGAGGCCCCGCCTACACAGACCCAAGTCCTCCTGGCTTGCTTCCTGATCATTCTCCAGACCACAGGCTCTACCCTACCTCCTGAGCCTTGTAGTCGGCATCTCCCACAATGCCCTGCTCTCTGGCCAGAGAGGCTTCCATGTCCTTCCGTCATCACTCGCCACGTTCTCCACTTCTGGGTGTCCCTTCTGCCCAGGACGCCACCTCCTCCAGGAATCCATCCCTGACCACTCCAGCCCAGAGACCGGCTTTCCATCTCAGGCCTTCTCCAGCCCGCACAGTCCATGCACAGAGCCCGCACGCGCCTCAGGAGGGAGCTTATTTTAATGTCATACTCGCCAACTTGCATTGAGCACCTGGACGGGTGGTGTAGCCTCGGGGTTAAGAGCACAGACTCTGGAGAGCCAGACCGCTCAGGCTGGAATCCCAGCTCTTGCTTCTCACACACTGTGTGAGCTTGGGCATATGACTCAAACCTCTGTGCCTCAGGTCTGCGAGATGGTGATAAAAATACTGCCTACCTCACAGATTGGTTGTGAGGGTTAACGTGGTAACACGTGTAAAGCCTGCAAAACAGCTTCCTTAGCATCAGCCATGGTCATCCGTGCTCCGTTTCGTCCTCATAGCGAGCCTATGAGTTAGGTATTGTTATTCCCAATCGCAGGTGAGGAACCAGATTCAAGAGAGGAGCAGAGTCAGGGAAGGGCCCTGCGTCTTGCTCTGTGGTCTGACACGGAGGACGCGGCCGAGGAGGGCCATAACTTGGAGGCCTTGTTTGCTGCTCATGGCTGTTCCTCAGAGGGTCCACAGGACTCGGGGCCAGGTGAATTCTCCAGAAGTGGCTCTAGGCACCTCTCTGCTCGAGCCAGCCATGGGCGGGGGGGTGATCGGCAAAGCAGGGCATTTTCAGTGCATCTTGTTCCCTAATGTCTAGAACACATCACCGAGTCCAGAGAGAGCCCCTGTCTTCCTCAGGCTAGCTGGAGACCTAGGACACGGGGGGCGACCTCCTGTCCCTGGATGAACCCCCATCCCTCCACCATCTGCACATGGAGGGAAGGGATATCCTGAGGTTGGCCCAGCATCTTTCAGGTTCCCATCACCGGCTCTGCCTCTACCTTTCAAAGGAAGTATTAAGGGGAGAGCATCTAAGAGGCAGGCCCTGGGTGAAGCGGGCCTGTGCGTACCCTCCCTTGGCTCCTAGGAACCTCAGATCCCATTTGAAAGGCTCTGGCCCGCACTCTCCAGCCTCTGACACTGCAGGATTCTAGAATCCCATGCTCAAAGCTGCCGCCCTGCATCCGTGTTTGTAAAGCCCCCCCGCCCCCCCCCCAGCTGCCTTTATCTCTCTTTGGTAAAAGAACAAATTTGCTCAGGACCCAGAGCAGAGGGAACAAGCAGACTGTTGACTCTTGAGCAAAACCTAGTCTTTGGAGAGCAGGAGAGGAGGCGCTGGATGTGCGTGGGGAGGCCAGCAGCCTCTTGCATAACCCGGGTGGCCTCCTGCCCACCCAGGCCTTTTCAGGGTTAGGGGTGAGGCAAACCACAAACTCATGCCCAGTTAATTTTTTAAGGCAAAATCAACAGGCTCAGCAATGATTAGCAGGCAGGTAATTTCGTCTTAATCGTGCTGAGAAGAGGGAGGAAGGAGGCTTCTGGGGGCCCAAGGATGGGGCCAGTTATCAGTTAACCACACGAAGTTTGTTTCCTTCCAAATCCGCTGGCCTTCAGCCCTGAGTTCCCTCATCTTCCTCTCGGAAGTACTCCCGTGGCAACCCAGTGGCCATCAGTGATTGAGGGAACGAACGCTCCACCATCCAGGGTCCCCAGGAGGTGTTTCCAGGGCCCTTGAGGGCTGTGATGAAGCACCAGTGTCCTCACAGAGCTTGCGGTCTTCTTGTTAAGGCAAAGCTCCCCCCCCCCCCCACCACCACCACTGTGTGGCTTTGAGCATGTTCCTTCCACCCTCTGGGGCTCAGTGAGGGCCCTAAGGTCTGTGGTGCAGCCTACAGCCAGCTGCTACTACCCTGGGGACCTCAGTGTCTCCATCCACCAAATGGGTGGGTTGGCTGAGACACCCTTTCCAGTCTTGAAGTTTTGCGAGGTCATGATTGGATTAGGCCAATGTGGCCTTATCCAGAGTGAGGAGGGTTTCAGGGTGAGGAGGGTTGTATGGGCCATGCTTTAGGAATTCAGGGGGGAGAGAAGGTGCCCAGAACAGGGAGGGGGCCTACCTGGTATCTGCTGTTGGCACCAGCAAGCGTCAGATCCCAGCTCCGGGAAGAGAGCTGTCCTCTCAGATGGGAGGCAGGGGTCTCTGTGGGGTGGGGTGGAGTAGGGCTGCGGGGGTGGCCTGGCAGACCCCAGTTGGCCCAGGACCCCTCCCCCTGGACTTGAGAACTGCCAGGGGAAAGACAGCAAGGCCGGACCAGCCCCGGGCCTGCTGGCTGCCTGGACTGGAGTTTGGTCAGTGGTTGGGGACCTATATTGTGAGAAAGTTAGGACTTTGTCCACAAACTGGAATTTGAAATTTCAAAGGGGCGAAACTGGAGGGCCCTACCCCAGAGTGGAGATGGCTCTTGGCTTCTTTCCCCCACGACTTTTGTTCTTTGTCTTGATAAGTCCCAGTTCCCCGGGTGGTGGGGCGGGGCGAGGAGAGACAGGAGATAGTAGGGTAGTTAGTACCCAGGGGGAGCTAAGATGCCAGGTGGACTGGGGTGGCCAGCGTCTGGACGATGCCTCTGGATTTGCACGTGCCTAGGGACAGCCTCCTTGGCTCCTCAGACCCCTGAGCTCCCGGCAGGAACATGACAGAGTCGCAGGCTCCAGGGCTCCAGAATTCTGTCGTCCTTTCTGGGACTCCCGGAAGGAGGCAGAGGTATGGGGTGAAGCCCTTAAACTCTGCAGTCAGATTTGGGCTCAAATGACAGCCCCTCCTTTGTGGCCTTAGGCAAGTCACTTCCCGTCTCTGAGCCTTAGTTTTGTCATCTGTAAAGCAGAACAGATAAACTGAGGGGAGCAGAAGATTCTTAGCTCCGGGCCTAGCACAGAATCTCTCCAGAAACGTTAGCCATTATTATAGTTTAAAAGAAAAATGAAGTGGTCCAGAGTGGCAGCTCTTAACCACAGTCCACACCAGAGGCTTGAGTGCCCTGCCCACAGCTGGGTGTGAGGCAACCCCTTCCCCCCCCCCAGCTGCCCCAAAGGAGCCCCTCTTCCCTTCTAGAGCTCTCCTTCCCTCCTAGAGGCCTCCGTTTCACTCTCTGCCACATGAAGGAGCTGGCTCTCTTGGTGAGCTCTGAGGGCCTCTGTTATCTGCTGGGAGCCACCTCATGTGGAGTGGGGTCAGACAGCCCAAGGGGCAGGGCAGAGGGAAAGAATGGCTGCTGAGTTGGCACCGAGGCCAGCCTTTGTATCCCTGGGAGCTCTCCCGAGCAGGGTCCTGATTGCGACCGATTGTGTGGCTAGGGTGTCAAGGAGTCAATCGCCAGTGACGATAATTGCCTCTGTTATGCCAGATGCCTACACGTGTTATAGCCTACAGCGTCCCTGCGAAGAAGGCATCAACCCATTTATCTGAGGCCAAAACTAAGGCCGGGTGGGGTAGGACCTGATATCATAGTTTGGGAAGTTGGCAGTGCCCGGATTTTGACCTAGCTCTGTCTGAATCCAAGGCCTGTGGCTTATTTTATCTTTTTATTTGATCTTCACAACAAACTACACAGTAGGCCCATTTTACGGAAGGAAAAACTGAGGCTCCAAAATAATAACTCGCCTGAGATCACAGAGCCAGTTGATCTCACAGGTGGAGTGTTGTTCATATGGGAGACATGTATCTAGAAGCCATTGCTTGGGGTTGGCTAAGAGCGAAAGGAACCACGTACGTAATAGATTGGAAAAGCTCGTGTGTGAGTAGTTAGAGTTCAAGAGTGGGACATGGGCAGGGTATGAAACAGGTTTCTGGACTGTGACTCAGAAGCAGTGGGTCATGTGTGTCGTGCGTTTGGTAAAGTGTTCGTGTCATGGTCTGCGAACTTAGTAGCTTGTCATGTGCAGACTGTCCGTCTGGTGGTTCTTATGTGTGCCGGGTCATGCACGTGACCTGACATGGGTCACCCCAGTTGATCATAGACCTTATTTAGTTCAATCTAGGGTGTCATCTATAGAGGTTGAAAATTTGCTATTTTCGCTACCTGTTAAACTCCGATGTGCCGATAATCGCCCCATTTTGGTAATGGGGAAGTGTGCCTCTTAGAACTGACAAATCGCTGTATGTGCAGGCCCCGTATTGCTGGCTTGTGAAGGGAGTAGCTGTGTGTGGCCCGTCGCAGGTGCCAGACAGGTGGTAGGACCTGGGCTCAGCCCTGGGGGGCCCCTCCCAGAGCTGTCCCTCCTTCTCCTCTGTGTTTGTCCCTCAATCCGGTCTCCTGCCCAGCTGAACTCTGTACCGGCTACTGGAGCCAGGATCAGACATCCTCGGGTAGGCACGGGAGGAATCTGCCAGTGGCTGAAGTCTCCTTTGGCCCTTAACAAATGTCAAAGTGCAGATTGGGGGAAGGGGAGCTCTCTCTTCCTCCCTCTTTGGGGGATCTTGACCAACGGGCCAAGATCTCCCCATTTTACAGATGGGGAAAATGAGGCCCCGAGGGAGATGTGATTTGGACAAAGTCATCCAAACAGTGACAGAGATAGCTCCTAAACGGAGGTCTCCTGACACCAAATCCAGCCTCTCTTCTCCTCTAGAACCATGGCTTCCCCCCACAGCCCCAGTCATCTCAGGCCTGGGGAGACCTTGGAGGGGGGCAGAACTAGCCTACACAGGGCACAGAAAAGGCTTCTAACTGGAAGAATATGAGGGGGGGTGCCTCTGCATGTCCTCACACACACACCACCTCTCCCACTGATTTACCCGCACATAAACTCCCCCACGTATGTACTCACTGATTCACTCTTTCCTAATTCACCCACTCGTTCATTGATTCACTCTGTCACTACCTCACCTCTGCACCCCTCCCTACTCGGCTATCGTTAATTCACCCACTGGTGCTCCGTCTGGCAGAGAGGACAGGCTCCCAGACTCCCAAATCTAGGCCCTTCTGCCCTCGCCTGCGCTTTCTACCTCCTTCATTGCGACCTCACCTCCCCGGCTAGGTGGGGAGCTCTTGACAGGGCCCGAGGAGAGGGCCGTGGGGCTGGAGGGAGAGACAAGAAAAGGGTGAACGCCTGCGGAAGGTTGGCAGGACCAGCTGCAGAATTTGCAGGGCCCCTTGTTCGGAAATCGTTAAGAATTTTGGCAACAGCAGAGCATGAAACCAAGCACAGGGACCTAACTGCTTGGGTGATTGGCTCACAGACGGCCCTTCTGGGGGAGGCGATGGGTGGAGAGAAGAGGGAGATAGGAAAGGGATGGGGCGGGGAAGACAGGACGGGCACTTGCTGGGTGCTGCCTTATGGTTGCCCGATACCATCTCATTTAATACTCAAGCCACCCTTTGAGGTCGATTATGCCTTTTACGGAGGAGGAAACTGAGGCCCCAAGAGGAGAATCATTTACCCAAAGTCCCGATTAGTAGGGGGTAGGCGCCTGAGCGTAATCCAGGTCTGTGGGGCTGCAAGCCTCGTCTCTGGCTATCTAGGGGGGCGGGGGAAGGAACCAGGAGGAGGTGACGTCTCACCTGAGCAGCTGGTGCTATGGGGGCTGGTGGTGGCCACAGTGGGGTCATGGAGAGCAGGGTGGGGAACCAGGGGTGAATCCATGCTGCTCCCCAGGGAGATGGGAAACTGGAAGGGAGTTCCCAGGAGGAGAATCTAGAAGACTGGTGTCTGGGCCCTGGGATTTAGGTTTTTAATTCATGTGCCACAAGGCAGCTCCATCTCAAGAGCATAGAAGGTAGAAGTCACTGATTTGGGAGGTTACTGAATTAGGGCATCTTGGAGGTGGGCTGCCAGTGTCTGAGCACATCAGTTAGAATGCCGGACTCGGGGTGACAGTGACTTGGGGGCATGGCTGAGTCAGGGGTCAAATGAGTGCCGGTGAGTTAGCGTGCCCGTTTTACAGGAATCCATACCTGAATATCGGGGAGTTAGGGCCCCAGCTGTTGTAACAGCACCCTGGTGTCCACCGGGAGCCAACAAACAGCCAAATCCCTGCAGCCCCGCCCAGCCTCTCCTCCAGTGGGGGAGCCGATTAACCATTAACCCCCACCCCTCCCCGGCAGAGCCTCCACCCCTTCGCAGGGGCTAGGCCAAGACTCCCAGCAGATCCTCCCAGAGGACGGTTTGAAACGCAGGAAGGCAGAGGGGGCCCCTGGGAGGAGGCGGTGGGAGGGCGGAGGGCGGGGGCCGGGGCTCTGCCCGGAGCCTTCGGGGTGGGCATCCTGGGCAGGGCAAGCGGCTGAGGTGTGGAAGGGGAGGATGCGCCTCTCCAAAACCCTTGTCGACATGGACATGGCCGACTATAGTGCCGCGCTGGACCCAGCCTACACCACCCTGGAATTCGAGAATGTGCAGGTGTTGACGATGGGCAATGGTAGGTGGGGACAGGTGTACCCAGGCGTGCCACTGGGGGCGGGTATGCCCAGATACCGGAGTGTGTCTGTGGCACTCGACGCTGGGCCGGGGGGAGAATGACAGAAAATGGCAGGTTGGGCCTATAGGCCAGTATGGGTGTCGCCAGGTGAAAAAAATGTGCCCGGGTACAGTGACCAGAGGCATTCTGGGTGCGGGAGGCCTGAGCGGGCAAGTCCCCAGCGAAAGTAGGCCCCGGGATTCCCGCCTGGCCCTTCTGGTCCCTGTTACCTCAAAACTAGGTCTGCTCAGAGCGTCACTGGAGAGTGAGGACACGACCGTGAGCTCCCCGTTGGCATCTGGCTCCAGTACTTGGGCCCAACTAGGCCCCTTCACGAACCCTTTGGGGGTAGGTCCCGAGACATGGAAAGGTGTCTTCTGTCCCTGAAGATGCTGGATGGAGACACAACCGGGTGTCTTTGGGACTTTCCTGGGGTGAACGCCCCACTTAGGAAAGAAAGGAGTTCTTAAGGGAAGTTTTGCTCAGTGAGATGCCAATCAGCAGTGAGTGCTGTGTGTGTGCTCATGACTTCCTCTTGGTGTGCATGCACCAGTTTCTGTGTGTGTTGGGTGGGGGTGTACCGTGTTGGCAGACACATTCCTTCGGGAATTCATTGGCGTATTTGTGCCCGTGCGTGCCTGTTCCATGTCGATTTCCATTTGTATTTGGTCATCGAGTGGGTCTGTGTCTGTTGATGTCTCTAGGGGCACGTGTGTTTGTCTCGCTTATGTACATAGGCAGCAGTGAACGAATGTACACGTGCCGCGGATGTGGGTCTGTTCGTGTGCCCTGTGCTTTCTGGATGCGTGTCCTGTATGCACGTTCTGTCTCGTGGCCCAGTTTGTACCCACCTGTCTACAGGTGCTCGGTGCACGTCCCTGTGCTGAGTGTCCGTACTCTCTGGTAAACATGATTATGCAGACGTGATATGCAGGGTTTTGATATTGCCGTTTGCCAAAGGAGATTCACATCAGCCACATGTCTGTTTCTCTCTGAGCAGATCTTCTTGTCTGAGTGTGTTTCTCCTCAGGTTTGTATATCCGCTCCCATATCACCAAGAGCACATCTGAATCGGGTGGGAGGGTCTCCTTCGCAAGGAGGTAGGGGAAGGGAGGAGGCCTGGAAGCCAGGAAGCTTCTAGAGGGGAAGGGCCCTAGGCCAGCCTCAGAGGAGAGGTGGCTGGCAGGTGGCCAAGGTCAGCCTGCCACCTGCCTTCCTTCCATGGCCGTGCGGCTTCAGCAGAGGTCTGTAATGCGTGTGGTCACTTTGGCTCGGCCA